AAGGACATGCGATCTCTAACATGGAGATAATATGAAAAATAATTAAATTTTTAAAACTAAAAATAATAATTCAAATAATTTTTTTTTTAGATCGTTAGTTTTTATTGTTTTTAGATAGAACACCTACTTGCATCCATCTTTAAGAATTGGTCTTTTTTTAATATGGATGCTTTACACTTTCTTGACCGCATATGTAGCCAATGCGATCCAGTCGGAGCGAAACAATTTTCCTGGACGATATGCCACTTGAGCCCTTCTTTGGTCATTGATATTAAGCCCTCTCTCAAAGCCTTAGTATTTTAATCATTTAAAGAAGCCCATCTTCTTCCTTTGAGTGGCTTCATTTGGCTCCAAGCCCCTTAGTTTTTAGGCATGTATAGGCTTTTTCTTTTTTTTAAATAAGGAGATATATTGGGATTTTTTATAAATTTTCCAGTAATAAACCAATAAATTCATATTACACCTGTAACCTTGGCATTTGAGTCCTTTAGACAATAGATCGTGGCCGTCTATGTCAACCATCGGATCATGTCATGTTGATTCATCCAAGACGCGTATCAGTTGATCCCACTACTTTACCACGCCTCCAACTTAAGCCCTCTTTTTTGCGATATTATCTAATGTATTCTTAATTCTTAAAAAATAATAGTAATACCAAAATCATTTCTTATTTCACCACCTCAAAGAAAATAATTCCATTCTTGAAAGAAAAAGTATACCACCTTTTATTTTAAGGGTGCAGTTGGCATCCGAATGCATTGGGAGGTGTAGAGGTAAGGTCTACCTTCAAATTTTATCGTGGTATATAATTTTGATGTGAAATGTTTTTAGGATTATCTCAAAATCTATTTTTATATCTAATTATAAAATTTTAAATTTTAAAAATAGTTAAAATCAAATAGATATATAAACATATGAAAATCTTGTAAATGGATGGTGTAGATAACATATTGTAAAATGCACTATTTTTGAGACGTAAAATCTTTTTATTTTTCATAGTCATACATCTCGATGTCGAGGTGATCAATTAAAAGGATTTTCAACATTAAAACTACCTTTTCCGATGGATTTTTGAGAGGCATCCGTAGTGCTACGTAAAAAGTAGCATCTTTATATAAACTTTTTCCTTATTTATAATACGAAGTCACACCCACTCCTATTGTTAGATTTTAAATTGGTTGGTTGAGTATGTCACACACTAAACTCAAATTTCAATAAAAATTATTTTAAACTTTGTATCACATCCCAAACCATCTAATAAATAATCTCATAGTACCAAATGAAATCATACTAATTCAAAGCCTGGCTGAAATACAAAAGAGAACTTGAGCGAGAGAGAGAGAGGATTGAAAATAATATGGACATTTTTGCTGCTTGTCATTCTCGAATGAAATATTTCAATCAGAGAGAAAAGGATATTAAGGATTAAAGAATGATAGTCGTTAGAGAGATATTTCCTGGGAAAAGCAAGTGATTTCAATTGTGAGGCACACATTTAGTTGAGAGAGAGAGAGGTTTTATGTAGTAACGTATGAGAGTTATTAGGAAGATTTTTTAAGTAAAGAAAATAAATAATTTCACTTTTCAAGAAGGGGTCACGATTAGTTACTCTTGGAGAGAGGCCAAATTAGTTTTAGTTTATCATTTGATTAAATAAGGTTTGAATTCGTCACATTTAGTTGGTGAGAGAGTGAAGGAGCAAATTAGTTTTTTTTTTCTTTTTTGATAAAAGAGGGATCAAATTAGATTTTAGTTGTGAAATAGAAGAGAGAACAAACCAGTTTTCGGTTGAGAGATAATTAATTTGGAAAAGTATATAATTAGACCGTTTATCTTTGATACAAGATGGTCAGAATTAATCTTGACTATTGGATGCGAAATTAGGTGGCTGCGTTTATTCGATCAAACTCAAACTTCAAAAAAAAATTTCTCGAACTTTGTGACACACCTAAACTATCAAATCTCATATGGGATAATTGTAAGTAATTGTAACATCTTTGTATCAAAAGTAAATGGTCTCATTATATACACTCACAATTAATTTTTAATTTGTCATTTGTCATTGGAAAAAGTTTATATAAAGTTGCAATCTTACTTATAGAAAGACCGTCTATTTTATTTAGATGGTGTAGATTTGACATCTTAAATGGCGTGTTATTGTTTAATATTATATTAAGAGACATGTCAAATCTATACCATTGAACTAACATTTTGGCGTTGAATTTTACAGCCTTATTTCTAGATATAAAGTTGCAACGTTGTACAAACTGCATTCTTTGAGAATGTATATATACTTTTTGGGTGAGGTTTGTATAAGTTGCTCACCTTTGACTGTAGGCACACCTTTAAATTTTGCCAGCATGTGTCGTTTTAGGGTCGGAAATATTACATCGTCGTCAAAGCCTTCTTCCAACTAATTGGGATAAAAGTTTTGGCAAAGTTTTACGTTTGTTGCATACCTAATACGATCTACCTCTTTTACCCATGCTTACTTGAAATTTTAAAAAAAAAGATAATTGTTATAAGATGCATTACTTTTAAAACCTAAAATTCATTTTTGAAAAAAGTTTATATAAGGTTGCAAGCTTAAAATGTAGAACTACGGATGCACCTAAAAAATCGATCGAAAAAGGTTTTAATGTTGAAAGACCCTCTACTTGAGTCTCAAAAATAGTGTATGATTTTGAGTATGACTATGAAAGAAAAAAAGATTTTGAGTCTCAAAAATAGTGTATCTTACAACATATTATCTAGACCGTCCATTTTTTAAATTTTCATATGTTTATAAATCTACTTGATTTTAACTTTTTTGGAGTTTAAAATTTTATAATTAGATATAAAAATAGATTTTAAGACAATCCTATGACTATTTTACATCAAAATTATATGTTATGATCAAATTTGAATGTGCGTCTTAATTGGATTGTTTAAAATTGCAACTTTATGGAACCTGCACCCTTCATTTTTATTTTTTTTATGTGGAGATAAATACATTTTGAGGATGAAATGACAATTTGGAGGGTTTTCTAACTTTAAGGCATTATTTTCTACTGAATTTTGAGGTGCATTTTAGTTGTACTATATAAGGTTGCAAACTTATATACTTTCTACTTAATTTTGAGATGCATTTTAGTTATACCATATAAGGTCGCCAACTTATATATTTTCGAATGAAACTATTTATTTTTGATAAAAGATGGTAAATGGCTGCAATTATTTCATTGACCAAACTTAAATTTCAAAAAAAAAAAAAATTTCAAACTTTATGGCACATCAACGCTATCAAATTTCACATCAAATAATAATAAAAAATTGTGACCAGCTTGTTTGTAAGGTAAATGGTGTCATTGTATCATATCCCGTTTTTCTTTTCGTTTTTCTTTCAATTTTTTTTTCTCCACCCCAGCTTAGTTGGCCATTACGAGTATTCTTAGGGGTATAGATTTTTACCCGGATACATTGCTGTCATGAAAATAAAAATTAAAAAACACGCCTCCTAATATCATGCCTATAGAGAGAGAAAGAGAGGGGATGATAGAGAAGTAATTACAGGGTTTGCTTCATAGAGAAGCATTGACTCTTAGTTACAAACCTCCTCAATAATTTTTTGCTACACCCCAATAATTTTTATTGCTTTTGCCCCCATTCAAAAATCATCTCAAACCTTGATTCTCCCTGTAAAAAGGCTCTGGTTCTGGAGATTCTTTGTTAGTCATGTTCAATTTTTTAATTTGAGGTTCAATTATGGGTGCCCAACAATCAAAAGATGAGCTTCTTTCCCAGCAAGTTGCCTATGGAAATGCTGAAGCCATTAAAGCTCTTCGTCGAGAAGGGGCTGGCCTTGAGGTAGCTCAATTTCCTATTATTTTAACTTAATTATATGAATTTATATATCCATTTATTATTTTTAAAACCATTTATTTCCCGACATTGATGTCTTTCTTAATTTTTGTTGTTGAAATGTTGGCACTTTAGCATCTGATACAATATTGATGATTGGTTTGTTGTATGATTGCTTATGAGTAGGTCTGGTTACTGTACTAAATTTCCTGTTAAAGATGGACTTTGAGTTTATGTTTTTTAATTAGTTGTTGATAAGGGAGGATTCGAGCCCTAGAGCTAAGGGGATTGTAATTTGATATTTCCTTCTTTTTTTTTTTAGAATTTTGGTTTTGTTAGATAGCTATGAGGGAATATTTAGGTGATGTGAAGGATGAAAACCCAAGTCATTTGGTTATGATCTGGTTATTGTAGTTTCCATGGTTATAACTTGGTTACATAGGCATTGCTTCAAAACCAAAACCTGTGCTTAAGAGATGGGTTTGGATTCAGGATTTCTGCATGATTGAATTTTCCAGAGATTATTGTATTGATTATTTGATTTAATAAGTTAAAATTATTATTTTAGCGGCAAAACCTCGTGTATTTTGTGATCCTCTTTTGTATAAAGAGTTTATAGTTTTAACTATAATGATCAGATACTGTTAATCAATTGGTTATTAAAGAAGAAGAAGAAGAAATAAATTTTGGGCTTCAAGGGAATTGGTAGATGGTCATCAGTTCAAGAGCATAGCACGTTTTTTCCCTTCCAAATGAAACTAGACCCAACTTGTGGTATTGCTGCAAGGAGCATAATTTAGGCGTCATTGTCTCAATGAACGTCTGGAAAGCATTTGTAACCCCCCCCCCCCCCCCCCTCCCCCCCTTCCCGCTCCCTTTTACATGAAGCTTAATGCAAGTTTTTCTATGAAATGTTTAATGATTAAAAATACAGTCTTTCATGTGGTTTATATTTTATA